TAGTTAGTGTATAGTAAAAAACTATTTTAAATTGTTTATTTAATGAACATTCATTTAATGTTAACAAAAAATTAAATGTTTCATTTTGCATACAGGAAAGTCACAGACGTGACAATTTCATTAGTTGGCACTAATAAAAAAACACTATTTTACATTGAAATATATTATGTTAGATATTAGGTATTTATAAATTTGTTCATTGTTGAACATTTAAACTGTACGGGTACATGTGCAAATTATTCGTTTTTGAGATACAGGACGATACAGATCTGTTTTAAGATATAATAGTAAGAAGTAGAGGAACAAGAGCGAGTGTAAAGTAAGTGAGCATAACTAGTTTTTATATATATTTTAGAGAACGTTACGAACGGTTACATAGTTATTATAATATAATAATAATATAATATCTTTACTCCTCATTCTAACTACGAGAATTAGCCCAGAAGTCGGAGACTTGTGCGGGAGAGGAGGCGGCATATTATTATTACGCAGGCCGCATTTGCGCCCAGGAACGACTTATGTTCGTGCCCTAACCACTATTCGGTGCAGGAATGAGGGAATCCTGGAAAACCTCATTAATTAGGGGGGTGGTCAAATGCCAACCGGTGTCAATCTCTCACATTGACCCAAGTCAAAATTCTTCCACCCTACCATACCTGCATAGAGGGTGCCAATCCTTCGTACAAGCATATCTATGGTCTACCGGCCGCGAGATTCGAAACCCGGGCAGATCATTTTCATTATTTTATCATAACATTTATCTAAAGCCTTTTCTAGACTTTGAATAGAAAGTTTTATAGGCTATTTATTTTTAAATGAAAAAAGTATACTTGTTTGTTATCGATAAACCATTACTAATACTATTCTAATAAGCAAGCTGCTTATTTATTAATTTTACTTAAACATCAGGATATTCCCTGATATTCAAAGAAGGTAAAGAACTCCTACATGAATTTTTGTGAGAAGTATAAACTTATTCTTTTGAGTGGCGCCAAAAGTAAAAATTTAAAGGATTGAGGTCCAGGCCACGAGCTGGCCAAGGATATTCGCTGTCGAGGCATGTTCACTTTTGTGGAAAATCTTTCTTCAAAAAGTTTTTAACCAGTAAATTATGATGAGCGGATGCAATGTCTAGTGGACTATCACCTAACAAATATTGCAAGACATTTTGTAAGAACAACAAATAATCATCACCATTAAAGCACATCACACTTTATTGAAAACTCATACTGGAAATGTAAATTAATGAAGATTATCTTATTCTCAAGTATGATTGTTTGTACAATTATAAAAATCACACGTCTCTTAAAAGTAGCCTCATCGATAGACAACATCTTGTCCAACTAGAAAATAACAAAAGTTTATTTTAACGGGTCATTAGGCAGCAAATATTGGACAGGTGTAAACTGATTTGGGTGAAGTTCTACTTCGTGAAGAATTTTAATTGTAGTTTTGGTTACTCCTGTTGCAGCATATAATGATTTGATACCTACTTGAGAATTTTCCGCCATACGCACTAGGATATCTTCCTTTTACTCAACACATACCATTTTGGACAAATCCTGCACTTGGGAAAACTTTATAATTTGGCTGCCTGCGGTTCGGGTACTAATTAAAACACTATGAGCATAAACATACATAAACCATGTCTCGTATTTCGAAATTTGTAAATTTGTTTACTTAAATTCTTTATTAGTATTCTTTTTTTTGCTGTCATTAGTATCAGTTTCAAAATGCAAAGTCTACTTAGGTTAATGGTTGAAAACCACTTTTTTCCATTGTAAATAATCGGGCTTTAAAATTATTTAATCAAAGTTCAAAAACGGCTTAGCATAAAATATGTTACGATGAAAGATAATTATGTAACAGTAGTATACTAGTTATGCACGCTAGCGATCTCTACAGGATATCTGAAAATGAAGTAGTAACGGATTTGGATTTCTCACTATCAAAAATGCCCTGTTCTAAATTTTTAGGAAACTTTCACTAAAGTTGTCTAAATTATGGAATTTTGAAATTTAAACTAAAACTATTTAGTTGAATCTTATTATTTTGATTACACACACACAACATTAAGGAGAGAACGCACTAGGTGGTCGCGGTCCCGTCGCGGTCCCGTCCCGTCGCGGACCGTGCTAGTCGCGATCACGCGCGGCAGAGTTCCTTCCCATGCATTCGCACTAGACGTTCGCGAGCTGGTCGCGGTCCCGTCGCGGTCGCATCGCATTCTCTACAGATCTTTTCCAAAGAATATCGGGAGCAAAGGCGTCGCCAGCCAATGGGCTAGGGGGGGCAAGATAAGAGAAATATGAATTATAGGTAAAAATAGGTACAGTTAATTAATTTTTTATAGAAATATTTTAAATAAAACCTTTTTAATACAAGAAAAACAAAAAAATATATAAAAAAATAAAGAAATTCAACGAAAATTAGGTAGAACATAATCTTTTCGGATTTTTTGAAAATTTGTCGTTCACTTTATTAATAAAATCTTCATGGTTGTCAAAAATAAGCTTTCTGTGTATACTCATCATTGCTAGGCCATTGAGACGATTTTGTACCATAGTATATTTCTCAGCCAGGGTTTTATTCTTCTGTTCTTCTATTTTTCATTCCCCTATATAAAATTGGTACGTTTCATATATAGCTTTAGTTGCACTGCAAACTTTTATTTTGATTCCGATAGATAAAAATTTAGAATTCCAGAGCCAAATTTTTAAAATATGGAAAAGTATTACTTTTTAACATAAAATTTTATATTTTTAAATTCTTTTGTAAACAAATATTTATACTAATTTATTACAATTGTTTAAAAAAAATAAAGTAGTGTATTAATTTTCAATTAAAATTTAAGTAAATAAAATATTTGATTAAAAATTTCCAATCTAAATATTTTCTTAGCTTAAGAAAATTTTTGTACTCTTTTCGAATTTCTATGGGGGAGGCAGCTCCCCTTACTCGGGAGACCGCGATGTGATCGAGACAAGCTAGAGCGCGAATGTTTTTGATGATCGCGTACC